GGTAGGCCGGGCCGTGGCGAGCCGAGCCGCGGCGCCGCGGTGCCTTCTTTGGCGCACGCGTGCCTCGGACGACCCTCGGCGACGACGGCGAGGGGACAAAGACGACGGAGACCGAGGCGGCCAGCGGCGGCGGCCACGGCCAGCCAACCCTGCCAAGCTGGAAGCGCCCGGGCGGCAGGCACACCCGTAGAACTCGAGTGCACGCGGGTTGCCTGCGAACCGGGCGCTCTACGCGCACTCCTGTCTGTCCGCGTGTTGGTTTAGGTCGTTGGCCGCGGTGGCCGCGATGGGCGGGGCTGGAGCGGGCTGAAGGGCCCACGCCATTTGGGTCAGTAGTGGGGTCGGGCCTCGGGTCGGGCGCCGCCTCGCCGCCAAACCGAGGGGCAGTCTAGGCAGCCCACCCTCGCCGGGACGGCCGGGACGGTGCGTTCACACGCCACGCACCCTTTCTGCATAACGGCCGTAAACTTGCACGCACAGGTCGATAATCGCGAAACTTTGACGGCTGTCTCTCTCGCACTCGCGGGTGCGAGAGAGACAGAGCGGCGTTTCTGACGCCAGCGAGAGACCGCTGTGTTGGTGCGACTGATTCAGGCGGCGGGGAAGCGGGCACGTTGCGGCACGTTGCTAGACGGAGAAGGAGTTAGTCATCATTGAAGCTCGTCTGGCCTGGCGGCCTGGCGGGTCCCACACAGTGGGCCAAAAGACCGGTGGAGGCGGCCACAATCCTAGACGCGTTTTGAGCTCCTGAGTCGCTAAATGGGACTCGAACTGAACGTGTGACCCCACCAATGGATTGCTCTCTGAACGAGGAATCTATTGGTGGGGTCACACGTTCGGTTCGAGTCCCGTTTCGCGACTCTGGAGCTGAAAACGCGTGTAGAGTTTTGACCGCCTCCACCGGTCTTCTGGCCCACTGTGCCTGCCCCGCCTCGAAGCGCGCGGTGCCTGCCCGTGTCCGACACGGCCGTGTCGCCCGGGCGGTGCCGTGAGTCACGCGCTGTCTCTCTCGCACTCACGGGGCGAGCCGGGCGCTGGCTTGGCGCTGGGTCAACGCGTGGGGAAGGTGGAAGGTCGATAGGGCCGTCGGCGTCCTGGACTCGGACCGAGACTCGGGGCGGAGGCGGTGTGGAATACACAAGTCTGCTGCTGCACGTCGCTCCGTCTCTGTCGCACTCACGGGCCGCTCCGCAGTGCTCGCTGGGTGCGAGAGAGACAGCACCGCGAAGCACTGTTGGAATATCAGCCCGCTGCCAGGACGCTCACACGCTGCCGTGCATACAACGCACCGCCCGCTGCAACGCTGCAGCTCGCTGAACACGAAAGGCGTCGTTATGAGCAGCAAGGCGGTGGGGAAATTCCGAGAAATTCGAAGCCTTGAGTCAGGGAGCCGCGTGCCGCGAGGGCGCTAGTTGTCAAAGTCGCTTGGTGGCTGAAGGTTTAAGGACGGCCCCCGAAAAGGAAGTCGGGGCATTTCGGCGCGCGGTCACCGTTCAAACCGCGCAGCCATTTGTCCTAGTGGAGCGGTACCGGAAGCCGGCTCGGTACACTGCCAAAACAGTGTTTGAAAAGTAAATAACGAAATGGAGGCAAAACAATGGACGCGGCCGAACCTCGTCGACGGCGACCTTCTTATTATCGGTGGGTCGAAGCGAGGGCCCCGTTGCCCAGCGGTAAGATGCTCCACTTCGCTGTTCGGAAGCGGGACCTCATCTCCCGCCCGGCGACGCGACAGTTGAAACCATTTTCTTGCCGTTCAGAGCGAAATTCCTTGCAAGCGCGTAGGTATTATTATTTTTTAAAATATGCAAGTCGGGGCAATTTCCTCTGGCGTGCCCGAGGAAACAGGGCGCGACCTCCGCGACGCAAAAACGACACCCTCGAGCGGTTGCGGTCGGCGAGGGGCGTGGCGGGGCGGGGCGGGGCGGCGCGGGGCGGGGGCGTCCGAGGAGGAAAAGAAAGGTTAGGGCAATGACAAACAATGAAGCCAAAGAAAGGCGGCAGGGGTGGGGGGATTTTCGCGTCGCCGACGGCGTGTCCAATGCCTCGGCTGCCGTGGGGCTTTCTACAAGTGCGCCAATTGTCCAGGACACTCCAGGACACTCCAGGAGGCTCCAGGGGGCTCCAGGACGCTAGGCCGCTCCAGCAGAACCGATAGAGCGCGGCGGTAATCGGCGTGGCCGCACTCGCCGCCACCGTCTGGGGGCTTCTCCTTCTTCTTCTTCTTCTCCTCCTCCTCCTCCTCCTTCTCCTCGGCGTCGCGGCTGCACGCATGTCCCCCCAAGATAATCTGCTATTAAGTGACTTTTATTGCAATCCGAGACATCCCCGGCGGCCGCCGCCTTGCGTGAGCCACGGTGCGCCCCCTCCTCTCCTCCTCCAGTGCCCCTTCCCCTCTGAGGTCCGTCCCCATGCATTTCCTTCGCATCGGCGTGGTATCCCTGTTGTCCTTGGCCGCCTGTGCGTTACGTAATTCCTGCACTGGAGTGTGTTATGCCCGTTGCCGGCGTGGCGGCTTCCCGTGCGTGTCGCCGTGTCGCCGCGTGTCGCGGGCACAATGGCTCGGTGACAAGCCCTCCCTCTCCCTCCCACCGGCCGCATTCCTCCGGCCCGCAGTCCGCACTAGCGCTGTCCTTGTCACTCGCACAGCTCGCTCGGCCGGGGACCGCGTGCGTGCGAGAGAGACAGAGAGCGTCGGCGCGTTCGGGTCGCCCACACCGCGAGCACAGTCCACCAACGGCCATCCGCCCGTTTTCCCGCCCTTTTCTTTCGCGCTAATTTCCGGCCGTCGGGCGCGTCGCTCTGTCTCTCTCGCACTCAGGGCGCGCTGCGGAAGGGTGCGAGAGAGACACTCGCGACTGATGCAGTCTGGTTCGGCACAGTCGTCGCTCTGTCTCTCTCGCACCCCTACTGGCCGCTCCGTGAGTGCGAGAGAAACGCCTGCTGGGCCCCACCTGTTGGACCACTTGTGCCTGAAGAAGCGAAAGGCCGCTTCGGTCATTGATGGTCGCTTTTCCTGAAACTGCACCAGCAGCCCGTCGTTGGCGAAGACGCGTGCAAAAATAGAAACAGGCGGAAGCCTCTACTCATCGCGAATGCGGTCATCAGGCTGCTTCGCGGGGCGTGGGAAATGACCAGAAACGCCAGAAATGACCGCGCCGGCCGCGCCGACACACAGAGGGCGCTGATGGCGCTTCCGGCGCCGCGTCCGGTAGTTTCCGGTCAGCTGTTGGCGGCCAGTTGAATGGCGCACGTTTAAAAAAATGATATAAAAAGCAGAGCGGCATCCGTTTCTGGCTGTTGGGCGTGTTCCTTTATTGAAATAAAAGAAGCGGGTGATTTTTGAATAATGGAACGGATCCTCACACTCGTCGTTCGGTCACAAAGTTCAAATTCGTTTTCGCGCCTCTTCGCCGGGCAGTGTGCGCGCGGGCTGGATGGAGGCTGGACGCGAGTGGTTAGTTTTATTTTCGTGGTCAAGAGGACGTGAAGAGAGACAGAGAGAGGGGGGCAGGGGCAGGGCAGAGTCGCCGCGTGCTGCGTGCCGTTGCGTCCAGTGCGCACGCGTGCCTGGAGGAGGAGGCAGCCTCATCCACTTGGTGAAAAACATCAAATTAAACACATAAAGACGTGCCAGCCCACTTCCTTTCGTGCGAGGGCCTGGCCGGCCTGGCCTGGACGGAGGGCTATGCGGTCGTGCCGCCGCCCCGCTCGCTGGAGGCCATCGACACGGCCGCCAAGCACAGGGACACTGTTGTCGGTGTCCTCCATGGATTAGCACGCGGCTTCGCACTTCCGTTGGTTCGATTCCCACCTCGGAGACCTTTTTTGCGCTGCCGGCGCGCCACCTTTCGTGCCATTCAAGCGGCGAGGCGCCAGCGCGCCAGCAGGAAGTCGTGAAAGCACCGCCGCCGCTTTCCAGCGGCGCTCTAAAGCGCTTCAAAGCGCTTCAAAGCGCTGCCCGAACGTTGATTAGTCGAAAGGCGTCACAAAAGACCCGCCGCGTCGTCGCCGCGTCGTCCCCGCCGCTCCCCGGAGAGGCAGGCCGTCTCGCTTCCTCCGCCAGGAAGTGGGTCTGCGCTCCGCCGCTCCGCGTTCCGTGCGCGGGACGTGGATAGAACATGTGAGGGTACCGACGGACTCACGTTCGAACGAGGAATCCAAAGAGACTCTCATCTGTCCCATTCGGTCCCTCGGTCCCCTCGGTCCCCTCGGTCCCCTCCGTCCGGTCCACCCCGTGAGTGCGAGAGAGACGGAGCGCTCGCATTGCCGCCCACGCGCCGCGTAGTGTCGCCGCGGCCCCGCCTTCGGTTCGCACCGCCGAGTGCCGCCAACGCGGAGCCCAATTAGCTACTTAATGCCTAGCGGCACGTCGCGCTGTCTCCCTCGAACTCCGCGGCACGCCCCGTGAGTGCGAGAGAGACAGCACGCCGGACTGCGGCGGGGGCGTAGCCGCGTAGCCACGGCGCCGTCCTGGTCATCATCGGCCAGGCCACGCGCCCGGACGCCCCGTCGACGCGGTGCTCTGCAGCGCGGGGCATCGCCACGAATCGCCCTAGAGTCCTGGAGTATCGGCGTTCGACGTCGACGTCCTTCCCCCTCGGTCCATCGACCTGGCCGTTCGTGACCACGCCGCTTCCCACGCGCGTCGTGTGCGTGTGGAAACATGTAAACACGGCCCTGTCGATACCCCGCGCCTTTCGCATCGAATCGCACGGAGTATCGACAGGTTGCAAGGTGCAGCGGCGAGCAGGTTCAGCAACCTCTCGGCACGGCGCCGGCGGCCGGCAGCAGCAGGCCGTGCCGCGGAGCTACGCGGAGCTACGCGAAGCATGACGCCCTGCTCTGCCTGGCTGCGCCTGCTGCGCTCGCGGAGGACTTGCAGTGCCCCATCCTGCCGAGACAGACATTCCCAGAAAAACAAAGAAAACAAACCGAATAATTGGTCCGTGCGCGTGGTGGTCCTTGGAGACTGACGGTCTTTTCTCGTCGTGTTGCAGGGCACCCCCGACGAGCGCATCCTCCTGACGAGCCAGCAGCAGCCCGGCGCGGGCGCGGAGAACCCCGAGGTGCCGCCCCTGCGGCTCGTCGACGGCCCCTCCATCCTGGCCGGACGCATGCAGATCTTCCACCGCGGCCAGTGGCGCTCCGTCTGCACCAACTCGCGCAAGTAAGTACCGCAGCGACCACGGAGTGCACGGAGTGCAACTCGTCTCGGATCGGATCGGGGCGAACGCCGGGATGGCAGGCCGTCCCGTCAGACAGGCGCATGCCGGTGGTTGCCTACACTGCGTTCCGCAGGCGCTCCGACCGGAGCGGGAGAGGTCCTTCGCGTTTAAATTCGGTTCGGAGTCAGTCGGATCCCGACGGTTTCGCTTGCGAGTTTGAAATGGCATTCTTCGCTCGAGTTGGAGGAGGTCCTGAGCAGAATGGTTAGTCAGCGCGGTCACCAGTTTTGCAGGGAATGTGCACTCGAGGAGTGTAGGTTAGGAAAGGCAGGACTTGTTGACTGTAAACAAAAACAGTGGTGGTTTGTTTTTGTCTGCTTGGCACGCAGCAGCTTTTGTTTCGTTTTATATTAATGAATCAAAAACTTAAGCACTTGTTTCTGCTGACCTAGAAAATGATGTGACCCCTGTTTATTTTTGCTGTTTGCAGTTGGACTCGGGCTGACTTGGAAACTGCTTGCCGCCACCTGGGTTTCCATGGAGGATCATGGTGGAGTTGGGTAGACAGACAGCCTGGAGTGAAGCCACGACTTCTGTGGGAGGAACCCAGATGTCGTGGAACAGAGACGGAACTGATGCAGTGCGACTGGAACTCTCGACAGTTGGGCTCTGGTGTTTGTGGTAAGTTTTTGGGCAGCCCTATGAATCACTAATAAGTTTGTGACTGTTTTCTGATCAGTGTAATATTTTATAGATTATCATCCTGACTTGGGAATCCAGTGCAGTCCATTTCATGTGTCATCTCAAAATGTGGTGCATCATTGGAGAGGGCTTCGGTTCGACAGAGCATCACATGAGAGAATGTTGACACAAAGGAACACATTGTACATAAAAACATCGCTCTCAGAGCTGGCTAATGTTGAAATAAGGTATGTCTGTTGCATCAAGTTTCCTTTCTTGTTCTTTGCTTTTCTTAAATGTTTTTTTTTTAATGAAACTTTTTTTTTTTGTAGATACGCTGGTGTGGGACGGGATTACAATGCCACCTCAGCAATTGATGTCATTGGAGTTCCTCCTAAAATGATAGCTGTTGCAGTAACACACTCTGCTTACAATGGCGTTAATATCACTATGCCCTCTGCTCCAATAGTGATGAAGAATTGTACTCTGCGCAACAACAGAGGTATTTTTATTTTGAACTTTTATTTTGCAAAGCAAAGAGATCTTTATAATAATGCATTTAATTGTCATCTTTCCAGGATATGGTGTTTTCATGAACAGCAGCTCAGGTCTTGCTCACATTGAAAACTCCCTCATTATGGAGAATGGTGGTGATGGAATAAGGTACATCCATCATGACCTCCCAGAAAATGCTCGTTTTGACCGATCGGAAATATTTGACTTTTGTACTTTCCCAACGACTGCGAGTCAAACATTCCCCATCACCATATCTGTGGAACAGGGGCATTATTCACCAGCGGAAAAGGATTGCTCTAAGGTATGTGTTTTTCTCAGATTTTTATTATTTTAATTTTCTTTAGGTAACAAAAAATTCCCTTTTCCTTTTGCAGTATTTCTTCACCCGCCCTGGTCATGTCCTGACACTTCACTTTTTACAAGTAAGAACCGACAGGAATGAAAGTGCCAAAATAGAAGTTTACGACGGAGCAAATGCAAATGATGAGCTACTTGCAACAATCGTAATACGGAATGGAACCAAGCCTCAGAGTATTACAACAACAAGACACAATGTTTATGTTCGGTTTAGAGCTCAGCCAAAGACCCAACTTGTTGGCTTTCTTCAAATAACTTCAGGCTACAGTAAGTGTAGTTTTGCAGCCCTCTAAACTTTCTTCCAAATCGACAGGCACTGGTAATAATAAATATGCAAAATCTTTTCTCATCAGGAAAATCATATGATCTCAATGTTACTGGCACAACTATAGCCGATAATAATGGACGTGGTATCGCTGCTGAGAACCTGCGCTCACAGATTCATGTTCACCAATCATCTGTTTCAAACAATAACCATGTGGCAGGTGTTCATGTGCTTGGTGGTGCAGCAGATGTTAACATCACAGATTCACGCATTGCTTTCAACATGGGTGAGTATCTGTATTTAAAATTAATGTCATTTTAAAATTATTGTCAGTTCTTGTTAGTTGAATATTTTTAAATACAATTTGATGTTGTGCAGGTGATGGTGTCAACATCAGTTACACTGGAGGTAGTCGGAATATTAGCTATTCATGGCTATCCTCAAACAAAGGATATGGTATGGCAGTTTGGTTGAATGATTCAAAATACATGGACCATGTTGCCTTCCACCAAGAAACAGTCATTGCATACTCGGAAATATACAAGAATTTGGATACTGGAATTTTAGTTGGAAACTTCTGTGGACCATCTTTTGTGAACATTACTGGTAACGGATTCAATAACAGTCTCAACACTGCCTTGGAAATTTTATCCTGCTGGAAAGCAAATGTCTCTATTCCCACCAAGCTTCAAATTGGACATAATACATTTGTACAAAACAAAAGGTATGATTTTTATGTTACTCTTGGTGATACTTATCATGTTTGTACATTTGCTTTATATGAACTAATGCTCCTGTTTTTTTACAGATTGGGTATAAAAATGAAACCAGTGCTGAACATGAAGGGAAAAATTGAATATAACCACTTTACTGAGCATGCTTATGGAGGATTGCTCATACGGAATCCGAGAATCGAGGGGGAGGAGCACCAAGAGCTGTTGCCTGTCAGCCTCACAGTTCAGTACAATGACTTCTCCAACAACAAAGGTGTCTTTGCAGTGAGCCTGGGTCTCAACCAGTATGCCGAAAAGGGTACTCAGTATCTGCTGTTCACACGGAACTTTGTAAGATACAACAGAATACATGAGCCATATGAAACAGGGATTGGGGAATCCTTAAGGTACTCTATTTAAATACCTTCTTTATGTTTTTATTTAAAATTCAAGGGCCAAAAATTGAGTCTTTTTGAGGTATCAACTACAATTTTCTTATTTTCAGATTGATTCCTCGAAGCAGAGTTGCAGCGCCGGTTGTTGTGTCATCCTCCAATGTAGATATTTTCAGGAATATCATTGAAAATCATGAGTCTCAATACGAGGTTGGTTCTCACTTAGAGGACCAGAGCCAAGTTATAAACTGCACCTATAACTGGCTGGGTAATGCAGGAGAGGACAAAATATTCATGAGACTTTTCCACAGGTTTGTAAATTTATATTTAACTCTGATAGCCTTTGTTTCTGTCAAAAGTAATCTCACTTAAATTCTCTCTACCATTTTACAGGAAGGATCGTTACAATTTGGCTAAAATTGAGTACCTGCCATTTTTACTTCATAGTAGTAATCCTGGAGCAACAATTATTTCTGTGAATCCAACTTTTGTTCCCCAATTTCATGCCCAGGGCTCTAGTAAAGTTGGTGGGGAAGTGGATGGCCAAGAGACTTTGAGAGCTGGCGAATACTTGGTTGAGCGAGACATTAATGTAAGTGGAAAATCAAAGATAAGAAATGTTTTAGTTGACAACTTATTATTGGCACCACTGAACTTTCATATCTTGTCTCAGGTGAGACCTGGTGGCAAGTTAGTTCTTCAGCCAGGAGTTACGCTTCGGTTCCCACCTTCGGTCGGTATGATGGTGGCTGGCAAGCTGGAGGCCAGAGGAAAGGGGCCAAATGACATTCGCTTGACTCTGCGAGAGGAACGCATTGACATGCCAGAAAATGACACAGATCCCACCCTTCTTATTCCCGAAGAGAATAGAGCACCAGTTCGTCTTTTAGGGGGACGCACCAACCGTGAGGGCCGTTTGCAGGTATATTCATTGGCTGAAATGTGAATCAACTTCCTTTAATATGAAACACTTAAATTATTTTAAAATTTTGTACTTCTGTGTAGGTACGAATTGATGGAGCTTGGGGCACTGTTTGTAATTATGGATGGACAAGACTTGACGCTGCCTTGGTGTGCCACCAACTTGGCTTGGTTTTGAATCCTGACGACTGGTTTTTGGAGAGGAGTGAAATACCTCAAGCAGGCACCACAGAAAACATTCTACTCAGGTATGTATTGAATTTTCTATAGTATATGTGAGTTTTGCTAGTAATTGTGGTCATGATTCTGTAATAATTGTTTTGCAGCAATGTGAGATGTGATGATGATGACACAGACATAACTCAGTGTCGTGCTGAGAGACCAGATGAATTTGAATTCTCATGCAGTCATGAAAATGATGTTGGTATACGCTGCTATGACACTTCATGGGCAGGTATACGCTTGGGGGTGGTTGCAGAAAGAGCTGATCTACAATTTATCACAGTAGAAAAGGCTGGTCTTCTGGACTATACCACAAATGCATTCAAACCTGGTAAATACATGTCTTTACTAAATTTGTATTCATGTCTGGGTCAAATTAAATAATTTGTAAGTGTAATTTACATAAATTTCTAACATTTTTCTTCTTTTAGCTCTCCAGATTGACTTTGCTCGGCATGCCTTGGAAAGTGTGCGCATTGTGGACAACTTACAAGATGGACTTGGCATCATCTACTCTGATCTTTACACATCAGGTGGTGTGAATACTGTAAGGAACTGCGAGTTCAGCAACAACAGAGGAAGTGGAGTCAGTCTGAAGCAGCTAGGCCTCAAAATATATGGTAAGAGAATTCAACTTCACAAGGCCTTGTTTAACAATAAGTAATTGAACATGACTAAGATATAAATTTAATTGCAGGATCTACAATGGAAAACAACAAGCAAGCCGGTATTCGGCACAACCCAGCTTTGTCAGGTGTGCAACAGCGTGAACTTGCTGGCTGGTTCAAACCTCCAACGGATTTGAACACGCAATATGCTCCATATAGCCCACTGTATGTCCCTCATACATTTTCAAACATTGAGTTGGACGACTGGGAGACTCGCCACCTCATTACTCAAAGAGTCACTACTGACCCAATCAAGAGATCATTTTTCATCAAGGTGCTTTTTCAATCTTTTTTGAATCTTTATTAAACTTTCATAAATCTGGATGGCTTGGACTGATTTTATTTTTATCTTGACAGTGTAAGCCAGGCTTTGTTATTGGCGTTCAGCTCTTGAATCCAATTCACAATCGCAGCACTGAGGAGATTATTGTGCGAGATGCTCACAGCCAAAGTGGCATTGCCCTTGCCGCTGCCTGGAATGTGAAGCGAGATTTGACAATCTTCCCTGCAGCTAGCAGCTCTTATGGAATAATCATTGAATATAACAGTGGAGTCGATGCTCTGGGAGGCTGTGTCCTAGTTTTATCCTCAGTGCAGGGTGAGTATTGATGCACAAAGCTTTGATTTTTTATTGGCCGTTCATCTCAACTTATTTGAATTTTGATTTTCCAGTTCCATTGCCTGATCCTCGTCTGCGTTTGGTGCGAGGCCCAGTTCCCACCCTCACAGTCACCAACTCACGTATTCGAGGCAATCGCCGTGGCCTGTGGGCTTCTTACTACAACAGATACCTCACTGAGCACGAAGACAACTTCCTTCGTAAAGCCAATGAAAGTATTCAACTGCTTGGGTGTGACATTTCACACAATCAAGAGGATGCTCTGCATATTCATTCTCCATTCTGGGACATCCATAAATCCAACCTTTCTGAAATTACCATTGTAATCAACAGCTCTCTCATTGTGGATAATGGTAGAGGCATTTATCAGTTTAGCAGGTCAGTGCTGACAAAATATATTTCTGCTGTTGTCATCTGCTCACTAGGTTATTATTAAATTAAATTATATTTGTGTTTAACAGGGATATGAGGAGCTCCAACAATTTGTTCCATTGGATTTTGTTTGACAATTCAATTGAACGCAATAATGGTGGAGGCTTTGATGTTTCCTTGCCTTATGTTTGGCAGTACAATGAAAATTACACTCACACTTTCTTCCTCTCAAACAACACTTGGAGAGATAATAGAAACTTTGCCTTTGTCATTGATGGCCATTTTGCTGCATTGAATCTCACCAAAAATATATTTGACTCCAATCAGTGTAAAACAGGCCTTATCTCAGTTAGAGGAATGGAGAAAAGAATGAATATTTACAGGTAATTTAAATTTCTCAAACCTCGTGTTTTTCCTGGTTTAAAATTTTTAAACCACTGTGCCTTTTTTGATTTTGGAATTTTTTTCACAGAAATCGCATTGAGCGTAATACTGGAGCCTACATGGTTGAGTTCAGGGCCGACAGTCAGTCTGAAATCATGGGCAACGTTGATGCTTACATGATTGAAAACGAACTGCGGCACAATCGGGACAATGCTCCCCTTCAGAGAGGATACTTCCAGGTATTTTCATTTGCTCATCCTGTCTTTTATTTTATGCAACCCATTTGCTAACTTTCCTGCCCCCTGTCATAGGTATATCGATCTCCAAGCTGTGTTGTTGGATTCCATGGAATTCAGAAGGTCAGAGTACGCCGCAATCTCTTTTCCAACAATGAATTAGACTACGTGTTGGTTGCTGGGGTTCGCACAGCCCAGCTGGCTAGCACTGTTGATGTATCTGAAAATTGGTGGGGTACTCCTGATGCTCATCTCATCCGACAACGTATCTTTGATTTTGATGACTGGAATAACCATGCTCAGGCAGAGTTCAGGCCATACCTTCTACAAGACAATTTTGATGCCTCACTCTCGGTAGGGATTGGTTCCTTAAATTCTACTGTTTGTAGACTCCAAATTTTATCTGCTTATCTTATTTATTTTTATTTTCATTTTATTTCTCTTTTTTTCTTTCTAGGTATCATTTGAACAACCAGTAATTGTTGATACAAACAATTTGGGTGGCAGATACAAGGATTCCCTGCGGCTTTTCTATCGACCAGAGCCTTATCGAGTTTACTCTGACATCACCATTCTCCCTGATGCTGTAATGACCATTGACCCTGGTGTTATAATGGAATTTGCACCCAACGTAGGAATCCTTGTACTTGGCACATTGCGTGCTCAAGGAAGAAGGGGCCTCGAAATTGTTATGAAACCACTCCAAATTCGAGCTCATAATAATGGTCCGGCAGGGGCACAGCCTGGCACTCCGGTTGCTGAAATTCCATCAAACCATTTGGTCAAGAAACGAGCTGTAGAATACCCTTATGTGGCAAGGTAAAGCACCATGGCATGATGTGTCCCTAGTGTTGAGTTAGCTGGAATTAAGTGAACCAGTGCAACATTTAATGGAATTTTGTATTTTGATTTTCAGTGGACACTTTTCAGACTCTATTCGTCTCTGCACTGGTCGAAACTGTACTCAACAGACCAATGAAGGATTTTTGGAATACTACAATCGCACCACTTTACAGTGGGTCCCAATGTGCGATGATCGATTTACTGAGCGAAACGCTCAGGTGGTCTGCCGAGAACTTGGTTTCGACTCACTCAATGTGTTTGTAAACCATGGCCAGCGAGTTGAGTTCCATTACAATTCCTTGTCTAGAATTTGGTCATGGCCAGAGCCTCTACAATGCAAGGGTAAGCCAACCTTAAACACACATTTGTTGAAAAAACCTGGAGGCTCACCAAATAAACCTTAAATATTGGACATGTTTTTTTACTTACTAGGTGATGAAAGTAAACTTGAAGACTGTGCAATAAGGCTAAATGGGCAATTATATGGTCACAGACATCGATGCGAATGGGATAGCCCATTTGTTTTTATTCATTGTGGAAAGCGCAACTTATACGGCACCATGGACTATTGGGGAGGTGTTAGATTTGCAAATGCTGAATTTGAGCAAAACCTCTATGAGCATAGGATCCATGATGTTGTTACTCATGAAACAACTAGAAGATCTGAGTCATTCATGGAAAATGTAAAAATTATTGGAGCTGGTATTTTGCATAATGAAAAGAGCCCTGCCATACAAGCTGTTGTAAGATCTCCAACAGTTATGAGTGTCAACATTTCAAGATGTGCATCTCATGGTATTAACATGATATCCCCAGCCGAAACTGTTCGCCTTCTTTTCAATAGGTATGTAAGAAACTGAAATCAAAGTTAGAAATAATATGAATTTTTACCTTGTGAATAATTGTTGTTTTTCCAATGATCAGGATTGAGGATACATTGGGGGTTGGTATAAATGCAATTTCCCTAACTGGTGAAGGCAGGGAGTCAGAAAGTTCTTTCAATCCTTTGAGAGATATAAATCTTCCCTACCATGTCTTCAGTCTTATTGACATTTGTGATCCAACAAAAGTTATTACAATTGAGGAGCGAGTTCTTGTGTACTACAAATATGATAACCATGCTGTCAACTGTGTCAAAATCTTCAACAGTGTGTATCATGTCAAACCATTTGGCTTCAGGTATGTTTTTATATGTATTTTATTTTATTCAAGATGTTTTTAAAGCAAAGAGCCTTACCAAAATATTTCTTACAGGCTTCTCCAATTCAACTTGTTCAATACTTCTTCTCACCCTGGCCGCCCAGACAGCATCACACTGTATGATGGAGACATCTACAACATCTCTGCCAGTGTTCTGGCTACCATCGAAGTCGGTGGGGGAATGGAAAGAAAGCTGTTCAGGACTCAAGGGCCGAAGCTCAGCCTCAAATTGTTTGCCAATGGTGGGAGCCAAATCCATGGTTTTATAGCTGAAATTGTTACTCTTCCAATTTCAGCAATTGGTTTCAGTAAGTTCTGTCAATTTTTTAAAAATATTTACTAACTTTAATGAAGGCCTCGCGTCTCTTCTTTGAGCTTCTGTAAGCTCCTAACATTTCAATTTGTTTTTTTCCCTTGCAGACAGAGATGTGCAGCACAATATTTCGTTCTCAGCAATGATTGCCAATCAGAGAGGTGCTGTTAGCTATATTAGTGCTGGAGAAGTAAACCCAGCTGTGACCCTTGAGTGGAATCAGATCCGAGGAAATGGAAACAAGCTTTATGGAAATTTCACAAGTGCTGAAGCAGCTGTCATGATGGATGTTCAAAATACTCAGAATATATTCTTCAGGGTAAGACTTCATTTTTATTGTTTTCTTGTTACCATTTTCTTGTTCACCAGGTGTAGGTTTAACATGTTTTCTTGAATTCATTTCCAGAATAATTTGGTAGAGGGTAACACTGGAGGACTTTGGATTCGATCAGACTCAGGTGGTTCTGCCACTGCTTTGAAGGGCTGGGTTCACAACAACCTCTTCACTGACAATGCTCATCGACCAGCTTTGTATGTCGAGGGAAGACAAAGCTCTCCTTACCAAGAAGTTACCATTTACCGAAACTACTTCACACGGAATTACTCTCCATACAACAATGTCATTGTGCTGAAACAGGTGAAGAAATGCTGCATTTTTTCTTGTTTCTAATGTGCTTGTCTGAGCAAAGTGTAACTAATATTTCTTTGCTATAAATTGTATCCCAGGTTGTGTCTAATTTCACTTACAACTACCTGCATCGGAATTGGGGTGGCCATATTTTGGAAGTTTCTGGCTTTGAGAAAGTGCGATTACCCATTTACCAGACCACCTCTCACAATGGGTTCTACTTGTGAGTGCCGCCACTTCAACAGCTACTGATGTGTGTCTACTTCTTGCCAGAAATTGTCTTATTTGGTGCTCTCTGTATTTCAGCAACTATGCTATGGACCGAGAATCACGGGGAACCATTGTCGCAGGAACTGCTGGCCAACATTATGTTGACAATGTGTTATTTGATCCAGATAATGATTATGAAATTGTCACAGTAAACCGGTCACGGTAAGTTGAAGCACACAGTACTTGCCAGTGGCATCAATGGTAGTACACTTTGATTGGTTACACCCTATGGTGGAAGTCTCTTTTTGATAAGCACTACTTGCGCTTTAAACTATCATTACACTTTGTAGTAGTAGGTGAAGGTTACGTAGTTAGTTTTCCCTGGTGTTGGATTTGATCTTCTTTGATTACCCTGTACTCATGGCATGTCACATTTTCCTCTTTTTTTGGCTGCACTTATGCGTGGTGGAAATAACAGTGCTGGCATTTACAGGTAAGCCTTTTTTTCTTTTTTTTAAATATTTGTAGTGCTTGTAAATTTAGAAGTAACTTTCTTTAGAAATATTTGCTTACAGACTTCTCTTGACTTGTGAAATATATCTAGATATCTTCTGTGAATCGTCAATAAAAAGAACTGCCTCTCATTTGACTAATACTTGTCTATTTTCTGCTTTACAGAAGTCTAGATGTGTGGAAAACTCCCATTGATGCCAAGCACAACTGGTGGGGATACAATGAAAGTTTGGCAGTGTTGGGCCGCATCAAGGATCGCGCTGATGATCCAGACCTTCTGGAAGTGGACTTCCGCCCCTACCATATGAACAATCGAACAGTGCTAAGTGGGAAATGTCCGCCAGGCTGGGCTCTTGTTGGAGACACATGTTACATATACATTGGAGCCCCAATGACTTTCCACGATGCCCGCAATTTCTGTCGGGTATGTGGGTCTTAATATTTCACATTTCATTGTTTTTATTGGCAGTTCTATTCTTTATTCATTTTTTGTCTCTTGAATGTTGCAGTCTGATAATGCCTCCATGCCCTATGTTATGAGCAACTATGTGCAACTGTACCACTTCCTACAACGTCAACAACAGGGCTTCCAGCTGCGTCATCATGTCTGGGTTCAAAATATTGATCGCATTAACCAATGCACAGCGTTTGCGTATCAAACAGTGGAAGTCGATCATTGTGAGCGTTTGAATCCGTTTGTCTGTGAAATGGGTATGTTATTGGATTGACTGAATGTAAATTTTTTGTATCTAGAGATCATCAATCAACTATTGTCTATTGACCTCTTGTTTTAGATCCTGGAGTCCATATTGACCCATTAAGTTGGCGTGAGGATGTTGTTACAATAGCAGTGCTTGGCGTAGTAGGTGCTGCATTGGTTTTAGTGGCCCTAGCAGCAGGATTTTGGTTTACTAAATCTCGCAGAAGGCAAGAGGAGCGTTTTCAAAGGAGGAACTCAATACGTCAGTCCCTGCATTCTGTTAGATCTCTAGGCTCAGTCCATGGCACAACTTTCTCTGAATTGGGTTATCGTCGTAAAGAACCTGTAAGAATTATATTACACTATATTTCATTTTCACTTGTAGTGCATGTTAGTGCATTCCTTTAGAGCATATATCCACATGCTATGTATTAATTACAATCTTTTCGCTGTATCACAGTTCACGGGAGCACACAACAGCCAACGCTCAAGCCCTACACTGACTAAAGGCTCAGATTATAAGAAAATGAATGGAAGTCTGGATTCAATGGATAAATCACAGTTTAATTCATCTGTAGAGGACACCCAAAGCTTTGACATTTATGAAACGCACAATCCACAGGCAGCAGCCATGGTGAGTAGCTATTCTCTTTTTTTTTTTTTTTTGGTTTGTGGCTGTTTATCTAGTGTTAAACCTTTCCATAGACAAGTAAATACAGTTCAATAAAATTAAAGCAAATGTGGTAAATGTCTTTGGCAGGAGGTCATGCAGCCTCTTAGGACCTCAGAGCAATGAAGGTTTCTTCATTGTTAATGGGTGAGGTGTGACCGTCCTCTTTGAATGTTTTTTGTTTTCATCTCATTTTGCTGATAATGTGTTTATTAGCTTGCTGGTTTTATTTGTACTCATCATAAACATAAAGCCTTTGTTCCTTTCCGTTATTTTTTTTTACTTCAATTTAATTTTTAGCTGTGTATTTTGTATGCTATGTAGATGATTGAATTGATCACTGCTTGTTGCCCTTATTTTTATTTTTATTCTACTCCATAATGTGGCTCGTAATTTTTTTTTCTTTCTTGTTCACACCCACGCACATGCCCCATCTTAAAATAGAAAAAATCTGTAGAGTAGTATTCCGCTGTTACAGACCACTGATGCTCGTGGAGGCTACGCATACCAAACACCATCTGATTTCCGACCAACTGGGGAAGTGGTCAATCCTGCTTTTGACCTTTCGTTTAGGAATGAAGGGTTCCGTGATAATTCTACCTTTGCATCACGGGACAACAGCTTATGGCAATCTACTGCAGGTAATTAGATTGATTTCCAAGAGCTTTTTAAGCTGCCCTTTAATTACAAAATTCATTACTGGTTGGTGTGTGCGTGTTTGCATGTTTCAGGTAGTGAATTAGGAGGTGGCCAGAGTCCCAGTGAAGGAGCCGACTACCTCACCAATGCTTCCACTCTTCCACTCAACACAAGTTTTGCAATGACTGACTCTACTTTGGGAGTAGATGTTGCTGTAACTCCCGCCTATAGTAGTGAAGCAACTTACCGGCCCACTGACACCCCAGATCCATATTATGATCATAGAGAACGTCTTAGAGAAGTCTCAGAGTCCTACTTCGACCCCAAGGGGTCTCCCAAGAACTTCTATAGCACAGCAAAGCCAACACCTGAGCCGTTCTACCAATCTACAAGTGGCTCATCAGAACCAATGTATAACCTGCAGGAGAGACCCAAGAGCTCACACATGGTGCTTGAAAGCAATTTGGATATTGCTGCAAATGAGAATGGTCTTCCCACTCCCCCTCACCCCCCATCAAGATCTAAAAGTGAGGTTTTGCTGGAGACCAACTTTGATGTCTATGTACCACCCAGTTCGAAACCATCAAATACCAGTGCTATGACTCCTGCTAGCCGAAGCAAGAGCCAACCTCTTGAGACGGCCATGTGATGAGAGATCTTGAGATTTAGATCTTGTGGGTAGTCATACCACTATTTGTAGTTTGGTACCAAACAGTCACCCCAGCGTTTTAAAGATGGTACTGGAATTGGTTTGTCCTTTTATGACACCAATTCTTTGATTCTGTGATCTTTCCAATCATCTTTGATTTTTATTCAAATGACATTTATATTATAGCTTTAAATTTCCTCTTGACTATGACGGCAAAAATGTCCATTGCTGGAGACACTTTTGGAGATATGATCTTTCTTAGTTTCCAAAGTCTTTATGATGGAGCTTTTTACTGTAGCTCCAAAATGTAAGTTATTGTAATGCCATCCATTTTGTGTCCTTGCAGGATACTCTTGTGATCTCAAACAACTCATATTAGTTATATTTTTATAATGTTTTGTACATTTATGTAATTTTTATTAAGTTAGACCTTTGTCTTTTTCATGTCTTTTATTTTAAGTGTTTTTAAGAGTTTGCAGTCCCTACTGTGTCTGATGTCCCTTGGAAGATGGCAGGTAGACATCCCATTAGTTGTAAGAATTAGAATACTCAGTTCTGATTGAACCACCAAGCCCATTGATGTGAGTTCATGCTACGGTCTTAGGTTTCATTTACTTTCAGCGAAATGATGAGACCAGTTAAATATGAATCATTTAATCTTGTGTATGTATAAGTTAAGGTACATATGCTAGTCTTATGGCAACTTTTTGTTTACAAACATTTTGTGTAAAATGCAAGAGTAGGAATCTTCAAAGTAGCAAGTGCTTTAGACATTTTTATTGTATGGGAGTCATGACTGTTGAACTCCAACTGATTCTACATCAGACCATGCATCGTCTCAAGACTCACATCTTTTTCTCTCAACCTCTGCGTTCTCTGCACTATTACCTTATTATAGAGTTACCTCTACAAAATAATGTGAAGCACCTACATATTGAGGATGAGTTTACTGTGATTTGATTGCATTAAGCTGATAGCACAGATCGTCCATTATCAGTAAGTCTAACAAATTATGTGCTCATATCTTGACCTAATGAAATTGAAAAACTGAGAGGTCTTCCCTAACTGTTTAATCGAGTGTTACTGCCAGAGCTTCTATCAGTCATGTACAACAGTAGCTCATAAGCTGTAAATAAATGATGGTCACTGCCAATTTGAACACTTGAAGGTGCACATTTTTTAGTCTGATTTGTAATGTTAATTGAATTTAAGCCCAATTAAATGTGACGTTTTATATGACAAACATTCCCTTTGAGATGAGCAATGTGTTCTCCACAGAACTGAAGTCATATGCATGTTTTGATTATTATTTGAATAGCACTTGATATTTAACTGTTTACCTCATGTAAGCGAAGGAAAGAAAAAACAAACACTGTGATATTATCAAAACTATATAATTATGTTCAAATTAAATGAATAAAAAAAAATCCTGAAATGAATTAGACTTAGATTTCAATCCGAAATCCCACAATAGAAAATCACATCCTATAACTCTAAATCACATTCTTCAACTCTTAATCACGAAAGAGGGAAGATGAGCTTCCATGCACATGCATTGTACACTTACTTGTCACACTCCATCAAAATTGGTGGATATGCACGACATGAAGGACAGAACTCAACATCATATAAATAAAATGTCATGGTGTGGACTGGGCACAAAATTCTTGTGCGGCTATCGGGACGATTCCAGCCGCAGTTGAGGCACGTAATGTTCACACTTGGCCTCTGGCAAATGCACCCCTCGGGTGGTGCGTGAGTGACCTCCACGGAGCTGGTGTACCGCGTCCTGGAGAAGGACCTGGTCCTAGAGGCCGACCTGGTCCTGGGGGCGGCCCTGGCGAGAGTCGCAGACCGTTGCATACGGCGCTCCATAAGCGGCACAGCGGCGGCCGACATCCTGAAGGTGTAGTGGAGGTCCTGCAGGAAATCTGGAGACAGCCAAGAGAACGGCGACATGAGCCTCGGCTTGCATGTAGGCGTAGGCGAACTTCCAAACCCCGAGACACCGACCCACAACAATGATATCAATGCGACTGCCTCCTCGGCCCAGCGATAACAATCACATGAGTTGATTTTGATTTAAATTCACTCCAGCCCACGGATTCTCTCAGAGGACGCCGGCGAGGCGACTCCGACTCGACCGGTGTCCAGTGCACTGAAGCCGTTGGGGGCTTGGGCTGGGCTCAACGTTCCGCCCGGACAACGGGAGCGCACCCTTGGGATGACAGCAGTTACAAAACAACGCGAGCACAACCAACACACAAACAGACTCACCTAGCAAATATCAGGTTCAACCACAAGAAAGCCGAGGGCTATTTCGGCAGCAACCGGGGACTCGGTGGCGGCGAAACGGCACGCTGTGTGTCGGCGGCTGGTGCTTCGCTGCGCTCCCGCTCACTCACTGCTGCGCCGTGGGGTGGGCGGGGGCGGCAGGGGGTAGGCAGGCTGTAAACAACAATGGCCACCCGAGCCGCAACCCGAGCGCTGTCGTCGCTCGACCACCGCCCCGACGACACGGCGCTACGGCGTGTCCGAGTTTTGTCATGAAATAAAGAACTTATAAATGGAAGCTGGGTTGTCTTGCCCGGTTCGGCTTGTGACGTTGAAATCTAGAGGGCTTTCGCTGGGCCTGCTCGGGTCGAAGGTTGGCAGCACCTGTTGCTGCACGATGGCGGGATATGGGGAAGGACACGCTGCGTCAGGCTATTTCACCAAAAAAATCAGATTTTTGAGACGAAGCGTGCTTTTAGCCTGGTAGGAAGAGTAATGTTAATCTCCGTACGCGCTGAAATAATGATTTCTTCCAAAAGCCGCGAAGACTGAAATATTTGGCGTATAATGTACCCCATGTAGTGAAAATAAACACAGGGGTGGGGGGTGCCTGACCCACCATTTTGTTCCGAATCCGTCAAGGTGTCTTGAGAAATATTTTAAAAATTATTCGCACGAAAAAGAACGTACTCCTTGCGCCTCCGTGGATTCGAACGCAGGTTGGGAGAGTTTGAAAGAGACATTTGAAACATGTCCCTAAGAACAGAACGCCGGTCAGTTGTTGGTGTTGCGGTGGTTGTCGTCGTGACGGTGGTGTACCTGGCCGTTCGCCGAACGCCCAACGCTTCGCGGTGGGGGTCCTCAAGTGTGTTCAAGTGTAGGCGTACCTAAAGGGCGCCGCCGCCGATTGGCCGGTCGCGCGTCACTCTCTCAAGTGATAATGAGCTCAGCGTCCTTTGTGGGGCCCGGCCCGTCAAAAGTGACTCGCGCGGATTTGGGCAGTGCCTGGGCAGTGCGCGTTCGTCCCTCCGCCGCGAAACACCGCGCGAATCCAGGTCGTCCCAATCGCCCAGTCCGATTAGCTGCCGTCCACCATGAGGGCCTTCATGGGTCTCGCCGTCCTGCTCCTCTGCGTCGCTGGTGAGAGAGAGTGCGAGAGAGACAGGGCGTGTGTCCGTGGCTTAAATATTGTAATCGCGGTTAGCAGTCGACCGTGAAGGCTGTCAGGGTGGCCCATCAGGCACTACGGAATTATTTTTTGGAAGCAAGGGGGCAGTGCCGCCACTGGCATTGGAACCCGCGGCGTGGTCAGCAGTACAGTGTGCTTGGTGGTTCTAGCGACGCTGGGGAGGGTGTGGCCATGGACCCCCGACGTGCCGGACAAGGAGGCGGAGAAGAAGGTCAAGTTCGAGCTGTACACGAGGTGAGTCCCCTCCCTCCTCGCGGGGACACAACAGTGCGTCCCCGCACTCCACAGCACTGCAAACCGCGGAAACGAACCCGAACCCTGTTGCAGGGACAACCCGGAGGAGCCCGAGATGGCGACGGTGTCCGAGCTGCCCGAGACCCTAAAGTACTTCAACAACGCGCTGCCGACCAAGATCCTGGTCCACGGCTGGCACGGCTCCAAGAAGCACACCATCGAGCTCAAGAACGGTAAGGGAATGCCCAGGGCGATACGCACTGCCTCCGAGGGTGTCCGCGAGCAGAGGGGGGGGGGGAGGCAAGTGCCGAGGAGGCGAAATAAGGCCTGTATGTGTGTGCAGTGAAGTGGCCCGTGTTGCCGGCCCGAGGTGTTGCATCCTGCTATGCTATCGCTTCATTTGCAATCAGATTTCGGATTGGAGTGACTGGGCGTGATAGGCTGCAGGCATATAGCTCGCCGCACACGCGTCCACTCAAGTGATTCCTAAGCATATTTGAATCATCGCGGAAATAAAAAAAAACGAGAAAAAATGAATAACATTCTCAAGTGCTGAGATTTGAAGCTGCTCGCTGTTGACGTGTGCTCGCAGCCTACCTGAGCGTGGCCGACATGAACGTGTTCCTCATCAACTGGCACGAGGTGGACACCCTGTACTACCCCGGCGCGGCGGCGCGCGTCAAGTCCGTGGCGCGGCAGCAGGGCGCCTTCATCACCTACCTGGTGCAGCAGCTCGGCCTGCGCGGCGAGGACCTGCACATCGTGGGCCACAGCCTGGGCGCGCACATCGCGGGGCTGTCGTCGCTGCACATCGAGGGGGACTTCACCATCGGCAGGATCACGGGTACAGGATGCTTTCTCTGTCAATTTAAACTTTCAAAATTTAAAACCTTAAAACATTAATATTTGTTTCGTTTTAGGTTTGGACCCGGCTGGCCCCCTGTTCAAGGACGGTCGCGAGAACCGTCTGGACAAGTCGCACGCCGCCTTCGTGGACATCATCCACACCTGCGGCAACGTGTTCGGCTACCACGACCCCATCGGCCACGCCGACTTCTACCCCAACGGCGGCGGCGCCTTCCAGCCGGGCTGCCTCCTGGCGGACATCACCAGTGAGTGCCTCCCTCGCGCACACGGCCTCAGCGGCCTCACGGCGCGCTCCAGCCTCACGGCTCCATGCGTGCGAGCGAGGCAGCGAGCCTGCTCCGGCCGCCGTCGTGTTGCTCATGCCCACAAATAGTTTCGTTGAGTTGTTCCTGGCGCGTAGCCTCGCGCCAAACCCGTCGCGATCATTGCTGTGGGGCCGGCAGTCATTTTACGGCCGTTTTGGTGTGCTTCCCGACGCAAGGCACACCCGCGGGACGCCCCGCGAGTGCGACAGAGACAGAGCAACGAGGCTCTCTTTCGGAAGCAGTCTGCCCGCGCGCGAGTCGGCAGCATTCGGGAAAACAACCTTCACCATCGAATCCACGAACTATCGAGTCATTCCTATTTATTTCAGCCAGCGGTTCTTCTTAAGAGCGCACTCCACTGTACTGTATGCGCAGTATGCGCAGACACGAAAACGAAGCGTTCGATTAGAGTCCATCATCAAAGTGAAAACAATGAGCCCTGTTTGCAGCCGGCAAGTGCAGCCACAACCGCGCCTACTCGCTGTTCGGGGAGAGCATCAACAACGAGGACGCCTTCCTGGCCCGGCCCAGCCTCCTGGACACCAAGGACTCCTCGTTCTGCTCGCGAGTGGACACCGACGCCGACAAGGTGCCCATGGGGGCGTTCGTGCCCGAAAGGTACGTTCGAGACGACGCGAAAAAGTCACGCCCGGGGGCGGGGCTTGAACCAGGGACCAGCGCGCACGGTGACTGTGACGCAAGGCGCTCGGCTATCACTAACGAATTTTGGCATTGCAGTGCGCGCGGCGTGTTTTGCCTGGCGACCAGAGCCGAGGCTCCGTTCGGCTACGGCGACGAGGACGTCGACGTCGTCACCAACTGGGCCAGCTCGCTGCAGGCCAAGCTGATGAAGCTGGCGTTCTGGAGGAGGCGCCACGACTGAAGCCCAAAGGGTCGCCCCAGCACGTGAAGGCTGTCGAAAATAAACCGCCAGAAACGGAGTTGCATTTCTTTATCTTCGCTGTGGCGCGCGCGGATGACTCCGCAGTTACAACTGTGACAACCATCTCTCTCTCTCCCACGTAAATGACGCCGCAGCGCTCTCTCTCTGTCTCTCTCGCACTTCCAGCTCTGGTGATACCAAACAACTTTTCTCACTGCGCGTGCGCTGCGCGTTCGAGAAAAAAAGAAAAATTTCACAGTTGCATTCCTTTTCCCGCGCACTCCGTGTGAAGGAGCGAAGGCCGCGACAACAACAGCAACAACAACACCTTTTCAGTAATTCGAGCAGAAACAACGCGCTTACGCCTGCCGACGGTGAGACGGCTCATCACGATGACATTAACCGGCACCGGCAAGTCGTTCCAAACACCTAAAGTGCAGAGAGGGTTTTCCGTTTTCCCGGCGACAGGTGAGACTTTTCTTTGTGCGTTATCTAGCTTATCGTCTGGCTGATATCGTTACGACGCTGGGAGACAAACACCCGGAGCAGCACAATTGTGTCACCGGCTCGTCGTCTGCGCCCACTCTGCCGAGCGCTACAGTTTGTCTGAAGCGACCGTCCACAGATCGAGAAACTGGCAGTTTTTGAACGGCGCGTTGGCCTTGCTGCGGAAGACAGCCATCACTGCCGGGCCGCGGACGGACACTCACTCACGTGGGGCCTTTTTGCCCGACACAACACATTGTACACCGCGACCAATTTTCGGTCCGGCCTGTTGGGTCCCAGCGGCGCAGGTAGCAGTGTGGCAGAGCCATGGCAGTGCGGCGCTCGCAGCTTCCATGGGCCTTCCATGAGGGAGAGGGGCGCCGGTCTGTCTGTCTGTCCGTCTGGCTGCCGTCCGCTCGCCGGCCCCACCGCTCCCTCTGAGCTGCGCTGGCTGCGCCGTGCGCCGTGCCGCGTGGTCCCCCTAACCGAGTTCGTCGCCGCCCCGCCCCGCCAGTGGCGTCCCGCGCGCCCCAGGCACAGGACCGCGACCGCGCCGCCGCCGTGGTGCCCTCCGCGTGCACGTCGACGCACGCGTGACCGGCCGCGAGTGTGTGAAGGTGTGTTATCAGTGCGGTGTACGACGTGTGTTGGGTTGCCAGTGTGGTGGCCGGAACGAAGCGAACGGAACGAACGCCGATACGGATATCCCGGGAGCCTTCGGCGCCCCGGCCGCCTCCGCCTCCGCCACAGCCTTGGCGGACTCTGACTCGGAGCCGCGCAGGACGTAAGTACAATGCAATAACTGCAAAGTGGTTTCACACGCCCACTGCGTCCACGACGCCGCGGTCGCCCCCTCGGCCGCGGACATCCTCGTCGGCGTCCTCGTCGAGTCCCGGACCGCGCACGACGTCCTTGTTGCGGTTTCGACGACGAGGTGCTCGCCGCCTTGCCGTCTCATTACTCCGTTCGCCACCTTCCCGATGAAGAGAGAGAGAGAGGGGGGGGGCTATAAAAATGCCATGGGGCTGCGCTCCTCCCTGGTGGTGCGGCATTCACCAGATTCTACACGCTCCTTATCACTAGAGAGCCGCGCTAAATTAAGACTGCGTCGTCTGCGCGAACGGTGTGCACCTACACGATGAGCTCCAGTAGTATATAGCCGGTCGGTCATTAAAGAGCGTTACGCAATATTTGAACAGCAAGCGATGCGGCCGCTGACGCCTGCAGACTGATTCCGAGAGTCGTTTCCGTAGCTTTGTCTCTGTCGCGCTCATTGGGCGTCCCGTATAGGCGCGAGAGAGACAGAGCGACGAAAACGACTCTCGGAATGAGTCTACTGACGGCGTGTTACGGTTAGGGAAGGACCTTGCGTTCCCGGTAGAGGTAGGGCCATGGGTGTGGCAGAGGCTGCGGTAGTGCGGTGTCATCAGCGAGGGACTTGGAACCGCAAGGCACGCCCAGCCGTGCCTCATCGCGCCTGCAGAGAGCCACTCCGCACCGTCTCTCTGTCTCTCTCGCACCCCCGGGTACCCTACGGCACGCCCCACGAGTGCGAGAGAGACAGAGCGACGCCATTCGGAATCAGTCTCGGCGGTTCGCGGTGTCGCATCGTTACCGGCGCCAGTTTCCATGATGTCACACGGAAAATGACCGGACTTTGTTTTCCATCCTCTGATCTGCTTTGCTTTGGCCTTTTTAAATTTTTATTTTCAAGTCCGTGTGTTTTTGAGGTTTTGCAAGTTCGTGACGAATCTCCGCGAAGGCGAAGCAAGGCGAAGTGAAGCCGCGACCTCAGTCCGCCAGTGCGCCACCTTCCTACTCACACTCACGTCCCACGGGCCAACGACAGCCAACGGGCCGCGGTCCGTGCTTCCTCCTCGCCAGGGCCGCCAGCCAATCACAGGCCGCCGTTCCGATTTGGCGCCAAAAGCCAGGCTGGCCATCGGCCGCGCCGGCCGCGCGTCCCGTTGCGTTTCAAACCGAAAGTAACTGTCCAGTAAATCCCGTCCCATCGCGTCCCATCCCAGCAGGCTGATTCCGCTCTGTCTCTCTCGCACCTGTGTGGGGCGCCCTGCGAGTGCGAGAGAGACAGAGCGACGGAAACGACTCTCGGTCTGCTGTCGATTCCAGGCGCTGGCCCATCCCGCCCGGGCCACATTCGTCGAAATCCGTTTAGTATACACAAAGGCGGGGAACTATCTTAAGTGATGATCGGTTGAAAGCGTGCTGGTGTGTTCCCTCCATTACCGACCGGGCAGCGCTTCGTCGCTCTGTCTCTCTCGCACTCCGCGGGGGTTCCGTAGTGGTGCGAGGGAGACAGATCGCTGTAGGCATCCTAGGAGGCAATGGGCGAGGTGGGCCACTCCGGGGCGTAGTTGGGGAGCGCCAGCAAATGGCCCTCGATGAGTAGAAAAAGAAGCAACAGAAGAAGATCGAAAAGACGGAAAACAAATGGACAAGAAAGAGAACGCGTGTTTCGAAAAATGAGGATAATCGCTCCACGCGGTGCGCGCTCCGACGGCCAAAAGGTGAACCTCAAACGGCCGCTTTACTAGCGCCCAAATGTCAGCGTGTCACCTTGGCAGCCTTGGGGTCCGCGGCGGCTTACCGCCCCGCCAAGCCGCCAAGCCGCCAGGCAGCCATGACAGGGGCACCGGGTCGACGCGCCGAGCAGTGCTGCAAACGGTCACACGCGTCGGCAGTTGGCGGCACTGCTTCTCGATTTTGGCGCCAACCTGCACCGTGTCGGAAGTTGGTACCATTGCCCTTCGATTTTGGCGCCAGATCGTCGCGGCCTGACGGGAATAAGGCTAAAGGGCGCGCTTTACCTCTGTAAGGAGCCAACTTGAACCTGTCTGAGGATCCGCCCTTGACACCTTCGACGCGGTGCTCTCCGCGGAGCGAGTCTAGGTGGAGCTTCCTCGCGGCGACCTTGACGGGGAACACGACGCGCCGCGGGGGATCCGCCTGGCGGCCGCGCGGCGCATGAAGCCGGCCAACTGCGGCCCGGCCGCCGTCAGATGCGTCGTTGTTTTGTAGGCGGCGGCTTGGCGGTCGACGTTCGGGGGGGACTCGGGGTATCAGGACCAGAGTATCGACGCGACGGCTGGAGGACCCGGTATCACCAAGGAGAACGGGTGCCTCCCCGCCCCCGCACTGCCCCCGCACTGCCCTCGCCATGCGCCATGCCCCCGCGAGTGCGAGAGAGAGCGCCGTAACGCGGCAAGAAGCAGAGGCCCTCTTGATGTCCGCCCGGAAAGCCTCTTACAGTGGCGCCCCCCGCGGCTATTGGCTGGCACTACACTGCCACCAGGAAGGACGGCGGGAAGAAAGCGGAGCCTCCTTTTTTCTGCGTCTTTGAAGCGCGCGCCGGCCGCCCGGCCGCCGTGAGAGCAGTTCGCGCAGTGATTGAGCCTGATATTGGTATTCACGGCGGTGCGGCCGGTGCCGAGGCGCCCTTCCGGCCGAACCCTCGTCGCTGTCTCTCTCGCGCCGCCACGGCACGCCCAGGCACGCCCGACGAGCGCGAGAGAGACAGAGAGAAGCGGCCCGCGGTGGCGCAACCGATGTCAATTAACCGCACCTGCAGCGTAAGTACTTGGACAAACTGGGCCGATTTTCCGGGAGTCGAGTATTAGGCAAGAGCGAAGTGCGGTAATTCGGCAATTTCATTTTAACGTTTTAACAGTGGGGGCGCGAGGCCTCTGGACGTACGCGCGTGGTCACAGTGTAGCCCGCGGCAGGCTGCGGCCCGCCCAACAATACCCGTCATAATGGTTATTGTGTCGTCGCAGGGCTTTTCTCAAGTACTCGCCGCGTGTGCGTGTGTGCATGTGTGTGTGTGTGCGTGGCGTTTGCCTGTGTGCGAGCGGCGCTGCAGAGAGGCGTCGTCGTTTTTTACGGGTCTTCTCTTGCCGTGGAAAATTATTTCTCGCGGCTGTTAACAGCTTTACAAGCCTCAGCCGTCAAGGTGTTAGAAACAGCACAAATTGGTCGGAAAATGCAAAGAAAATGGATGATATTTTGTTACGACTGTAGGAGATAGGTCGAGAAGCAGTGGGTTAAAGGCTCAGCAAAAATTACGTTAATGAGTCCTGCAGTCAGAGAGGCAACGATAGAGCGATAATTGGAATCGGAAACAGTTTCTTATTTTTTTTGTTAGTGTACGCACTCCACCTGCAGAGTCGTTGGCGCGTGGTGGCGGGCTCCGCGGCTTCCCGCGATTGTCCGCCGACTCCCCCCCCCCTTTCCCCCTCCCCCGACGCCTGGCGCGTAAAAATCGGAAAGAATACGCAATCAGTCCGCAGCGCCGTGTCAACACTCGACACTCGCGCTGCGCGTGTGTGAGTGTGAATGCACGCGTGTGTGTATGACCCTTTGTCAGGTCAAAGATTGAGCTCGCAATAATTGCCCCGTTCTTGTTGTACAGACGCGACTCTCCCATGACCATTGACGGGAGAAGGTTCGTCAGGGTGGCTGGCGCACGGCGCACACACGCCACTCCTTCCAGCTTGCTCCCTCTCTCTCTCTAACGCACACACTCACACTCAATACAGAAGCCGGCTGACATGGCATCGACAGGACACAACTTCCGACCTCACTGGGGCCCAGCCGCCCCAGCGGTACATCCGAAACTCGGTCGATTGTTCCGCGACTGTCCTCTGTAAAAAAAAAACAACAACTAAAAAAGACTATTGTAAAAGTTTTTCTGTTGTGTTAAAGTTGATGCAGCTCGTTGAAAAATCGAAAAATTTCGACTTGTTGATGCACTGCTTTCGCGTTCCAGGTCCAGGCCGTCCAGGCGGCGGTTCGACATGAGGCTCTCCATGAGGCTGGCCGAGGGCCCCGCCATGAGACGATGAGCACGGCGTCGTCCTTGGCCAGCTCGGGCGTCACCTCCAGCTCGGGCACGGCCTCCGGCACGGGGTCCGGCACGGGGTCCGGCTGCCGGGTGGACGTCGGCGCCGACCCGCGGACATGGCCGCGGCGGCAGCGCACCTACCGGCCGCCGGCCCCGGACACCATCGTGTGCTCCGACGACGAGGACCTCGACCTGCCGCCCGCGAGGGGCTTCGTCAGGGTGAGTAGCCTCCCTAGGCCCTGGGCCCTAGGACGGACAAAAGGGCCGGTTTACTGCCGTCGTGTGGACGCCGTCGTCGTCACGCGGCACGCGCTGGCAGCTGGCAGCACCGCTCTGTCTCTGTCGCACCCCTGCGGCCGGCGGCACGCTGCGGCACGCTGCGGCACGCCCCGCGAGTGCGAGAGAGACGGGCGCAGGTGTGACTGAGTGGCCGGGGATGGCGCCGTGAAGCAGGGAGTCGTGACCGTCTGCTCGTGGCGCGCGCTTTGGTGCACGCCTTGGCGCACGCCTTGGCGCACGCTGCACCTGCAGCCTGACTCACACCGCACAGTGGGCCATAAGACCGGTGGAGGCGGCCAAATCCCGGACGCGTTTTGAGCTCCAGAGTCGTTAAATGGGACTCGAACCGAACGTGTGACCCCACCAATAGATTCCTCGTTCGGAGAGCAATCCATCGGTGGGGTCACACGTTCGGTTCGAGTGCCATTTAGCGACTCTGGAGTTCAAAACGCGTTCGGGATTTTGGCCGCCTCCACCGGCTTTCTGGCCCACTGTGTAGCGCTGTGAACCGCGCATCCGCGCACGCGTGGACTCTCCACCATCCCCTCGCCTGCTCTCCACCAACCCTTAGCAACCCTCTTGCAGTTCTCATCCAAGTGCAGCTCACCTGCCGAGGTCAATAACAACCCCCAACCCAATAGGTCTCCGCCGCCGCTTCCCCGACTCTCCCACTCACTCTCCGGAAACCCTCGGCTGCTCTCCGGCAGGCTAATCCATCGGCGTCCCCTTTTAAATGCCGCGCGTCGTGACGGCGCGGACGGCGTGGACGGCGGCGCCGAGTTCAGTGCTCTTGACGGGCCGGCCGTAGCGGCCAAGCGGCCAGGCGGCCAAGCCCTGTCAGGTCCGAAAATGAAGTGGTGGCACGGCCGGGCAACTGCCGCGTTCTAGCCAGCGAGATAGCCGCCTTTGCCTGGCTTTGCCCTGACGGCCACGCTGGGTCGTCGGCGGGCCCCTCGACGCGTGCCCCCCGATGAAGCACGCCGACGGCGACCCCGGCCGTAACCTCCCGATTGCGGCGACTTTCCTGAGCTGAATCCCAGATGAGCCGGACAACGGCTTCGAGCTGTCGGCGAGCCAGCGTCGCACAGTGGGCCAGAAGATCGGTGGAGGCGGCCAAAACTCTAAACGCGTTTTGAGCTAGAGTCGCTAAATGGGTCTCATACCGAACGTGTGACCCCACCAATGGATTGCTCTCCGAACGAGGAATCCATTGGTGGGGGTCACACCTTCCGTTCGAGTCCCATTTAGCGACTCTGGAGCTCAAAACCCGTCTAGAGTTTTGGCCGCCACCACCGATCTTCTGGCCCACTGTGCACCATGGGGCGCGAAGCTGGCTGAAGAGGACGCAGATGATGGCGGGAGCCTGGCCGGCCCGGTCGGCCTGGTCGGGGCCTTCGCTGGCCCTTCCGGCCCGGAACCATGTCGCGCCGTGCTGTACCGGGCCGTAGCGCTACCGTGCCGTGCCGTGCCGCGCCGAGCAGACGACGTCACGCGTCATTGTCCAAAGCGTGCATGCGTGCCGTGTCGCCCGGTTGCCGCACTGCCGCCGTCCTCTCCGGCAGCCGCTCTGTCTCTCTCGCACTCGCGGGGCACTCCGTCTGCGTGCGAGCCAGACAGAGCGACGGCTTTCGGAATCCGCGTCGTCTGCTGCCCATGGCACTGCATGGCACTGGCGGCGCGGGGCGCGCGCTCGCGTGTCCCCACAGGACGACGGGCTGCCAACCTAACCAGCCTCGCCACAGTTGGCAACACTGCGACAGGTGTCCTCGGCCAATCGGCGCGCGAGGCCCGTTTTTCGAGTGGCGCAGTGGGACTTCCTCGCTGCCTGTTGTTTTCGCTCTTTAACGCGGTTTTTGTCGCGTGGCCGCGCGAAACGAAGGAGGGGAAAAAAAAGGAGGCGGCTGCCGGGAATCGAACCCCGGACACTTTTGGACCGATTGCCTTTTACGCAGAGCACCGCGCCGCGACGGCGAGGAGCTTGACAGAGTTGGGCACGGGCAGCAGGCCAAAGGCGGGCCAAAGGCGGGCCAAAGGCACGGCCACGGCGCGGCCGCCAGGTCGATGATCCTTGGGCAGCTCGTTGAGGGTTATTCGGCGTCCAGGACTCCGGGACTCCGGGACCGTATCCTGATCCGACTAGTGAGGTGTGACCGGACCTCACCGTCGGCATTATTCATGCCTACCAGACAAACGAACACGAATGGCCTGTTTTTAAGCAGAATGTGGCAGTGGCGTGACACCCAGGTAACGTCAAGTTCACGAGAAAAGACGGTTGGTTGTTGTGGCTCACTGCGTGGGCAAACTGAGATATTCCTTGAACTGATAAAAAGGGGAGTGCGTCCGGGTAGCGATTGAGTTGAAGCCGATCCTCGAGAGGTGCCACTTTGCCTCGTTGCCAACACGACACGTGTGTGTGTGTGTGTTGCTAAGGTGGGCGTGTGATGTCGGCGTCTGTCCGAGGCGCCGGTTTATGTCATGGCGGCGATGCTGATGCTCTCGTGATGAGCAAAGGAAAGCTATACAGCGGCCGTGGAGAATTAGCGCCACACCTGGTCGGCCTGCACGGCCTGGCCTGCACGGCCTGGACGGCCATCTTCACACGGAGAGAGTTTTCCCACACTGTCCATGCATCCGACTGCACGCCTGCACGGGGACCGCGCCATGGACGCCGCGGCCGGGGTCAGGGACTGCCGGGGACCGCCTGTCGGACTGTCCGCTTAATGAAGGCCGCAACGTCTAGACACGTCTCTAGACACGCCGCGCTAGACACGCGACGCGCGGAATGAGTGCCCAGGGCCCAGGGCGGGACACTGCCCGGCTGCCCGGCCGCCCCCGCACTGCAAAAACAAAGCGAGATAGCGAAAAACGCTAAACGTGTCCGTATCGTGCTTGCGGCCCCGGCAGCGCAGCTCCAGGGAGTACACCGTCGGAGACCTACAGGTTGCCTAGAGTCCTTGCCTACCCACTGGTGTCCGATTGCCTACCCAGCCGTGACCCCAGTCAGGTGGCTCTGCCGGCCGCTGCAGCTGCGGGCGGGTCGTGGCGGGACCTGGCGGGTCCTGGCGGGCCGTCGGCGGGCCGGGAACATGTTTTATCTTTGTCTGCCGCTTGCCGCGGACTCGCTGACGCCGTGGAAATTGAATGGGCCTCTCTGCAGACGCGCAGCACGGCGTGGGTCCAGGCGGTCCAGAGTCCACTTTCACGCTCCAGCAAGGCTGGCGGCGCAGGCATGGCGCAGGCATGGCGCAGGCCTCGTAGGCCGTGCGGGAGGTGTGGACGGTCCAGCGTGCGGCGCCATGGCGGCGCGCAGCGAGCCGGAGAACAACAGACCTGTGCCTCTAGGCCTCTAGGAAGCGGGGAACGGGAAGGAAATGCGGAAAAATACGGCGAAGAAGCGCGAGGCGGACTCTAAAAATTAGAAATGTGTTGAAAATCGAGTTTTGGACTGATTCTCGGCGGCCACTGCGTCCAATCCAGGGCGGGAAATCATACTCCCTCGACGGGGCCTAGGACGCCGTTTTTACGGAGGGCGATTGCCCGCCTCGGTTTCGGAGCAGTGTTGCCGCAAAGTTGACCAAAATGTTAATGAGTGCAAAAGTTGCAAATTAAGTAAATTTTCTTTTTGAGTAGCGTCAAGGTGGTACATGCGGTCAAGACTGTGTGCTGTTGCTGCTATCAGGTGGGTGCATTCCTGAGGCTGCACACACTCTCACACACACAGCGCCTGTGCTTGCAAGCCACAGTGCAGTACCTGAGTTGCTGTTTACCGCGAGGTGACGAAGGCGTATCACGCCTCCCCCTCCCCCTCACCCCGTCCCTTCCCCACGTGACTCATCAGGGCACAGGACACCCCGCAGCGCTAATCTAGCATCCCCGATAACTCCACTGATAAATGAGTCGCCGATGCAATGTGTCCGACACACACACTCACGTCGAGGGGCACAGGGTGCTACGGGAGTATCGACAGCTTGGCGGACAGACAGACACACAGACAGACAGGCAGACGCTGGCAGGCAGACAGGCAGACAGACAGCCTGCAGGCGGGCATGTGTCTGGCCCTTAATGGTAATGGCAGGCAGGCCTGCCCGCGCGACAGCCGTGCGTGGCGGGCTGGCCTACGCCACGCTCTGCAGGCGCTATCTGCCTCAGTCGCCATCTCTCTCCCCCTCTTTCCCTCCTTCTTCTCGCTCTCCTTCAAGGCGAGGGTGTAGGCGTGGGCACTGTAAGGCTTCCGTCGCGTCCCTCTCGCAGCGCCACGCCACGCCAATGTCAACTACCCGTGGCTCTGTCTCCCCTCCGCCTCTTCCTTCTCCTCTTCTTCTTCTTCTTCTTCTCTTCTTCTTCTTCTTCTTCTTCTTCTCCTTCTTCTCCCGCTTCGCCCTTCGCCCTGCACGGCGAACGTGGCGTAGTGAACGTCGCCCGCGGCGTGTCGGGCGGTTCAGAAGCCACACGACTCGTTTTGGCGTCGTTTTGGCGCGTGTTTTTCGGGCGCGAGTCGCCGAGCCGGGTGACGCAGCAGCCGATAACGGCGGAGGAGGAGGGGAGGGGGGAAGCCGTAGGCCGAGGCCGCGGCCCTTGTTAGCAGGGGCGCCACCCCACCGAACACCGAACATCCCCCGGTGTAGTCCGGTTTGTGTAGCGAAACGCCCGGCTCCGCCCCGCCCGCTGCACCCGCGGAAAACACGGCAGGGAAAGCGGAAAAGGAAGACGCGCGTCATTTTTAACACCTCGTCGCGTTCTATAGGGCCTAGGGGTACAGCCATCGCGCGATGCCTGTACCCCTGGGTACACTTCTCCAAAGGGTACATTCATGGCGCGACACCGGCGGTGTGTCCGGTCCGCAGCGGTACTGCTTGCCTGCTCCCTGGCCGCTGCCTGGCCGCACAGCGTGCCCGGCTCCTACCACCAGTGCCTGCTGCTTGCTGCCTGCCGCTTGCTCT